ACATATTAATTATATCCGTATTGTAAATAACCCAGTGTGGTCATTAGGCAATTTGAAATGTTATGAAATTATTATGAAATTTTTTGTTTTTTATTCTTGAAAATTGCATTTCATGTGTCTCAGAATTACCAGCCAATGTTGTAAGCGTTTTCCTAAAGGAACAGAAAGGGCCTAGCGTTGTGCCTAAAAGATATATATTTTGTATAAGTATATTAACGTTAATTTAACCTCCGAAAATTCCGACTTGAAAACTTAAATAAATATAGAACTCGTTTTTTTAGTTCCGTTAGTTTAGTTTTGATTTACGAGGTCACTCGTTCGCTTAATTGGTTCACATTAAAGGTGATTTATTTTCATTAGATCGGACTTCACTTCTTTAGGTGTGTGCTAATAAATACTTATGTAAACTTAAGTTTATCAGTTTGATCACTCCATTATGAACAATCAGGGTGCGAATGAGAAAATCATATCTGATGAAATCATATTAATAGTGATAATTTAGGTGCGAAAAATAAGATAATTTAGGTCCCAAAAAAGAACCTATTTAAGGACTAATAAAGAGTTTTTACTTATTCTATATCTTGTGCCTGTTTCTTTAATACTCACTGCTTTCTTTCCTAATTAAACTAAGACGTGGCAAAAAGGCGAGAACACCGATCATGAACCGAGACAATGCCGCAATGATATATTATATGAAATAATTTTCATTTATAAATTTTATGATTACACGGAGTAGTGGATTGGACAAAAAGTTAGCGATGCAAAAATATCAGTTCCTTAACAGCGTTAATTACAAGAGTCGCGATTCTAAAAATATATATATAATAGATAAGTTGGTGCAATTGAACAATAACGCTGGACGTGGCTTCCCTTGACCTAAGCTATAGGCCGACAGACCTCTGTGAACGACTCTGTATACTACTGTCGCCTTGCTGAGTCACTTGTCTACTTTGTTAGTGTGAAAAATCTATGACTTACCCTTACTCGCTTAAGTAAAGATCATAACTAAGATAACTTAAGCGTAACTGAACATTCTCAGTAACAGAAAACTGTTTAATCGGTTGTTTACATACAACTTGTGAAATTTCGTTACCGTCCCAAATTGAATTATCTTTCCAAGTTGGTACCGAGAGTCCGTGAGTAATTGCCTAAACCGTCCGTGAGTAATTGCCTAAACTACACACAGTAAGAACCGTACTACGTTATCATATCGCACTATATCCACCTGACTAATACAATAATTTTAACAAAAAAAAAAACCGGCTTCAAACCGGAATCTAAAAACATTATTAATACCCATAACATTTGAGAATTGCCCACGATTTCTCTGGAATGCCATTATTTAGATCTGGATTTCATTGTCATGGTATCATCGTTATCGCGAGATATCGCCTTTCCAACAAAAAAAAGAATCCTTGAAATCATTTCATAAGCGACGATGTTATCCGCGTACACACATAAAAAGAAGTAAAAATTAACAAGTACAAGTGAATTGAGAAACCTCCTCCCTTTTGAAGTCCGGTTTAAAAGAGTTGATAGGCGTTTCTGAACTTGACATAGACTAGCGAGTGGCGTAATAAAAGTGTCAATCAAACTTACTCGCAACATAGATAACTGGGTCAGTATGTACAGTGGTCCATGTACTTCATAACTGTCAAGACCTTAACCCATGTTGTACGTCATTCACCACATATGCCCAGCAACAATGGAATATGCACTGAAAATAAAACTTAACGCAGAAATACACACATTAGATATTGAAGGTCGTTGTAACAGCGCACGGCAAGATGTGATCATAGCTTTTAGGTTTATGCAGTTTTAATTACATAATTTTCTCAATTATTGTCTATTTATCAAGCGATTGGCAGTCTGTAGAGGGAGACCTATGTCTCAATTATGTTTTTATAGAAAATTCTGGGTACGAAGATGAATATGGGATAAAATGATCATTTGGTAATGATAAAATTTTATTATTCGTTGTGGTTAACAACTGTAATGATCGCTTCAATTGATTATATTATGATTGAGAGCTGCTTAAATAAGTCTAATTGAATAGAAAACTTCTAAAAAGCTTTCTCTGCGAGTTTTTTTTTACTATTTTACAACAATACCCTGAATTTCGTATACACTGACAAGCAAAATTTATTACTAAGCAAATTGCGTTTATAGAAAGAGCTAAAATTTGTTTGCAAAGAAGATAAATACATCAAACCGTAATTGCGTGGTACGCAATTAACAGCAGCGGTGTTACATTTTTTTTATTAACTAACAACAAAACCGACTTCAAATATCTCACTCTAGATACATTTTATAATTGATTTTCAGGAGTCTTCTTCATATCTCCGGCGACCAAGATTCAATGTCGATGAAATTAATATTAGACCACATGTGAAACACCAGCTTTCAAAATATAAGCATCAAAATCGGTTCACGTAAGTTCTGAAGTAAGAAATATTTAAAAAAATACAGTAGAATTGAGAAACTCCTCCGTTTTTGAAGTCGCTTGAAAATTACAAAAACAATGTACTCGAACGATATCGTATTTAGTGGAACTGGATATAATCGGAAAAGGCAATTTTGCCATAGCGTTTTGAGATCGATAATTAAGATAACTTCCATTCTTTATAGAACCACGTTTAGTTCGCGTTTACGGGCCTGATTGCCTCTAATTCTTTATGCTATTTCGGCGAAAACAGTGCTCATTAAGGACCCGTCATGCTTGAGCTGTATTCTGGATAGATAGATATTGAGGACGACAAATTAGATGCGGCATCGGATTATTCGAACGTCGTTCGCGTTATTCGCGTTTTAATGAGGCGTTTTATCAATAAAAGATCAATTCTTACTTTCAAATATTCTCATTATTTCTTACACTTAATATATAAAAAGAATTATTAATGTTTACACATATTTTACGTAATGTGGGTAGTTTTCAATTGAAATTATTATAATTATCAATTTCAATTAATTCAACATAATAATTCATAATAATAATTTTTTTCAAAATAACATATGTGGTCCGGCAAAGAATATTTTTCATTACACGCTCAGGAAGTTTTTTACCTTGCAATGGTAAGATATAGGCTCATTACGATAACAATAGTGTATGGTATTAATAGCTTAATAATACCATCATATATTATTTGTTGTGCGTAAAGTAAACTAATCAACGTTTTATCCTTCCTCATTTCTGAAAGACATCATCATTATTATGCTATTAACTATGATCAAGAAGTGGTCGACTTTGCCACGTCGGATAATGCCATTGCAGTTTTACACATTTTTTTATTGATACCATTCGCTGCCGACAGAGGTTCTGTATAACTATGGAATTAAAGCAAAAACGAATACGTTAGTTGTGTCTTCGTATACAATACTATTTAATATTATTTACGTATCCTAATCGGTATATGCACAAGTGGTGTATCGAAGTTAAGGATTACTTAAAGCGATATAAGACATTTTTACCTACCAATTTGTATAAAATGTCTGTTAATCAAAAATAAACTTTTGTTTTCAAACCGGCCAGTATCATTACGACTATAATGGAAACTAAGTGTAATCTGGCAGCGTCTTGATAAACTGTTGTACTGACGCCTTGTTAAACTTATTACCGACCTCATTTCTGATAACTAATATTTCTCGATACAGTCACAAGTATTCAGTTTCACTTAAAGACTTAAGAAAAGGTTTGAACGTTGTTTATCAGTACTAATCTTTTCTATTAAAATATTGGTATTACTGGAAACAAAATTTCACTACCCCTCCTCTTTATCATTCAAAACTGCATTACAGCTGTTAATCGGTTAACCGGTAACATTTAACAATTAACCGCTTTGGAACGTAAAGGATAAAAGAACACCCAAACTAGGTCTCATGCAACATTCGGTGTGAGCGCAGAACTTATTAGGATTCCGTACCCAAAGGGTAAAACGGGAGCCAATTACTGACACTCCGCTGCCGTCTGGCGTCTTATGAAACGTTGTAGTTTATTTCTGCTAAAACAACATACACTAAAAAACATAATGAAAAATATTTAAGTGGGGCTACCATTCAATAAACATGATTTTTTGCCGTTTTCATATATAATGTTACGGAACCCTTCGTGTGCGAATTCGACTCGCACTTGGCCGCTTTTCGAAAACTTATGCGAGTAAATATAATACGTGTGGCGCAGTTAAATTTCCGGAATGAATAAGAAATAAATACTATTAAAGGTTAAAAACGAACTTTGTTTCTCAAAGTACTTTCGCCCTTTGCGATAATGCATTTTTTCGTACAATTAAACCAATTTTGAAAACAGTAGTTCTATGTCCCAGACTAAAGCATGGCATTTGCCCCAAGTGACGCCTGTTTTTCGAAGAAATTGTGTGGGATCCACCGAGAGCATTGCTTTCTCGCACCCAAATGCTTGTGTTGGACTTAAACATTGATACTATAAGTTTAGAAGTTACTTCGTTACCTTTTAAGTAATAGAAGCTATTCTTTCCTGCCAATGGAAAATTTAAATGAGCCAGATTGGGTCCATCCGCACCCCGGTTCTATTTTTATATATGACCATCTAATCACATTCCCAGCATCAATAAAATATTTATAACGAATAATCAACATAATCCTGCTGTTGGATTAATGCGTTGCAAGAATGAGAAGGCCGCAAGTCCTGCGAGGGAGGGCTGTATTACCAGAATCACATAACTGTGATACGTTTCCTGTATGCAATAATATATGCAATGCCATCACGCTACACACTCGATCAGGGGTATTAAAGGGTTATTACACTGTGGGATGGCTGCAATGTTAATGCTGCAAAATGAGTGCATACTGTTCTATTTCCTTCACTTTAATATAGCACAAAATTCGAGGGCATCCGGGTCAAGCGACACAGTTGTTGCTATCGCACGCATCTAGACTTGAAGATTGTATCGAACGATTGTTAAACAACAATCGAACTATGTAATGTAACCGGGCAAATCTTATTTCGAGTCGTGAACATAATTTTAATCACCGCGTGATGCAATTGACTGCGGCTCTAACGATGACAAGGTCGCCGCGCCAGCCATACCTGTGAAGAGTAGAGCAGAGTCTGACGCCGACGAGTACGCCTCTGGTAAACCTTGAAAATGAAAAATTTTTGATAAAAATACCTCGGTACTTCTAGTCCAAGCTTGTCTAAAAGTTGAGTGTCGTAAAATGATAAGAAATTTCTAGCCTCAATAAACGTATGAAGCAACCTCGATGTGCTGTTGTGAAGCAGAAAGAATTCCAGCCTTTGAACGGATCTTTCCTTTTGAAAACTTGCTGACGATGGTTAAGAAAAGTAGGATTATTGGCAAGAATAGTTTTTTGTTTAGAATTTCGTTATGGACTACTAAGGAGTAACTGAATGCTTTCGACGACCACAATACAATTGAAACGCGTTACGACGATGTCGCGTTTTTTAATACATATTTTAAAAATCTGATGCTATATAAATACATTAATAATAAATTAAATTATTTAAATTAAATTATTATCGATTACTTTAAAGATTTCTGTTGTTTCTTCTACTGATTGACTTCAACGCCTTTTGGCAAATCAGCCCATATCATCAGATTCCCTTAAAATAAGGACCAATTACTGTGGTGTCCCAGAAGTAAAGAGACAAGTCAATGAAAATTATTTAAATTAAAAAAAAATTAAAATAAATTATACATAATTATAATAAAAATACAATCTATATCAAATTTGCTCCCGCGATGCCTTTATAGCAGGTTTTACTCAAATTAATGCTTAACATCTCATGACTGCTTTTCCAGAAGTTCCTGCCACCCGTTTTCCCAATCTAGCCCATCTTTGTGTGAAAGATGTCAATGTTTTTTTATTTTTCTGAATACTTTTTATATTCCTTTTTACACCGAGCCCAAAACATTTCGATACCTCGAGCTTGAGTAACATTTGGAGCATTGTATTGTTTCGAAATGAATTTGACGCCTATAGATTGCACATATTGAGTGACTTCAGATTCGTAATGAAACGAAGCTATATCCGGCGAGAATACAACGGCTTCCCTCGCATAATACTTGTCTATAAACGGTTTTAATCGCTTCATGATACACTCTCGAAGATAAATTTGTGCGTTCGTAGACCGTGTACAGATAAATGGTTCAGAAACATTGCCGTTTTCGTCTGTAGCTTGCCAAACCACGACTGGTAGCGTGGAAATATTGCTTCCCAGGTACATCAGAGGGGTCAACTATTTACAAGTTTGAAAATTAAGGGTCATACGAGACCATTAAAGAAGTACTGAAGAACTTACTTCACACAATGCTTAAAATGAATGTGTAAAATTGTGTTGGCATATACTTCGAAAAAAAAATATACCATGGATATAATATCTGGAATCATTTATCAAAAATGGGCCTTTTTTACTGTGACCTAAGTATTCACCAATAGATTCATTCGGAGTTCAGTTCTTAGGGTTGTTAAATTCGGCATCAAATTATAGTCAAATTAGACCTAGGTGTTATTACCGCTGTTTGCGAATAGATTGAAAGTCGTTTCGACCAGAACTAACGTCTAAGACCAATTATTCTCGCTTTACATAAAACAGATTGGTTGACGTTTTAATTCATACTCTTTTAAATTTATTAATACTTGAAATTTTATAGCCTACTCCCTTTTTAAGCCAACGTAATGATCGAGTAAAGGTTTGTATTATATTTAATTCGTGTATCGTAAACGTTTCGTAATGTCTGAAACGATCCTTTGGTGGAATGTTCATTTTTTCTTTTTATTTGGCCGTTAAAATAAGTTCAAGGTGTTCATAGGTATGTGAAGTATTTTTTAAATTAAATTTATACAAGTACGTCATGGACACATTAGAAGTCTCCCGTTGCAAATAAGAAAATAATTAGATTAACTGAGAATATGCCCGTCGTGTTCGCTTGCATCGTCACGGTCTAAGCGCTCTAACTTTCGATATAAACAATAAAAAGTTAAAATTGGATTTAATTCGCACATACAAAAAGTTTGCTCGTAAAATTTGCATTTTCTCAACAAAAAAGTGCGGAGAAGTATGTGTTATGCAATTCTGAATTAGTGCAATGATTTTATCACATGGATTTGTCATGTCGCATCATGGTATATTTTAAAATGATTGAATTTTTTATTTTCATTTTTTATTTCAAAGCAATTACAAAATGCCACGTTAACATTTAAATTACTCTTTATAAGTAACTATCTATTTTTACTATAACTATATTTGAACCTAATTATTAGATAATCGCAGTATTTATTGTTGCTAAGTCTCTTTACATTTTTTATGGTGAAAAATGTCACTGACCAAAATTGATAAATTTTGTCAGAGGTATGGCTTAATGTAGGTTATATAGGTTAGATTTTCAAGATTTGATCGTATGAGATTTAGTATTATTTTAAACTTTTGGTGCTAATAGAGATTTTCGAAATCGGTTATTTTTTGTTAAAAATCTTTTTATTGTAGTGCATACTTCTGTAGGCTAATTGGGAAAGATTCATAGGCTCGTTTCACCGATATGCTAATGGCACGTAAATTGCCATTGATGTTGATGACATTAAATTTTTATATCATTTGGTTTTCTAATGTTTTATCTCTGTAAAAGAAATTTCTAGTTGTAGAGTATTTTAAGTGAATTTTAAAATTAAATTCTTCATAATTTAACAAGAAATTTAATGACTCAAAATTAATATTGTTGTTAATATGTTGTATGTTGTATATTGTTTTAAATTGTCAGAAATAAGAATTAGTTTTTGGCATCTTGATTGAGATCTTTCACTAAAGAGACGTAGGTAAAACAAAGTATAAGTTTACCCACACCGGTCTTACGTGAGTTGGACTTCTACAGTACCTACCCGGTACCGACATCAATGACACACTACATTAATGATACCCTGCCTTAGGAAAATTCTAACGATTTTGTCAGGAATTTTATTTTATAATCATTGTCCCTTCGACGAAAACCATGATTAATCTTAGAACAGTTATTTTTAATTATCAGCACGTTGCTGCGTGACCGATTTGCCTTTTAATCGTTAAACTATCAAATCAATAAAAATCTTTCAGCTCAGGATTCTATCTATAAATTTAGAATAGAACAAATTTCTAGATATATAAATGAAGGTATGCGAAATTGATATATATATACTGTTTACTGTATTATTTATTAGAATTTTAATAATTTGCGGTCACGCACCGGTGTGATCGAACGCCGAGCGCGTTACGCCGAGGGTTAAAGTCAAGGCCGCCACGTAACGTCCCGAATCACGTCCGCCCGGTGTCGACTCGCCAATGACGAAGGTGAAAGTCAAGGCGCGGTCCGTGCACACCATGCGTTATGTAACCCCAACATTGAGCAAGCCTCGTACCACAAGGAATTGACAGACTTTACAAACATTTCGATATGCAGACTAAAAATATTTGACAGAACTTAATGATGACTATCATGCAGCTACGAAACAATCATTACTAATATTATAAAGGCGAAAGTTTGTATGTATATGATGTTTGTTACTCTTTCACGCAAATACTACTGAATGGATTTTATTGAAACTTTACAATAATATAGCTTATACATCAGAATAAGACATAGGCTATAGTTTATTATTATATATAGACAGATATACATAAACTATTACATATTTTATGTATATATCTGTCTTTCTGTCTGAATGTTACGTCTTCAGCCAGTTATCTATATAAGGCTTCTAAAAATAATTAATTTTAAATTCATAATACTAATGGTTATAAAAAAAATTCTACTAACTAATTAAATGTATCTATTAATTATGTCTGTAGTAAATAAATATTAAACGCGTAAAACCAATGAATATCACGTAAGCCAGGGAATGTGTGCGTTTATGATTGCTTGCGCATATTAAATTGGAAGCGGCGTTCATTACACACACACATATATATATATAAATATATATGACATCAAGTTTATTACATTCGTAAAATACACTACATAATGGTTCAATCGTGGACAAATTTTACCTTAATAAAACTATTTTAGTTCAATATGTACCTATCTCGCATAATAATTGTGACGAAAATCATTATTACATCGTCATTTACAATTGGCAAATTGACTAATTAAAACTTTCGGCCACTGTCTTCGTCAAGACAGGAACTATTATAGAACGGATCGTGCAATACCACCCAACCCGGAAATGGAAATCCCCGAAAAATAAAACAAAAACAAAATGTTCAACGGGCCAGTTTTCGAAAATCGTTTAACATCAGACGAAGGCCTTCCTACTCTAATAGTAGTTATGACGGCGCATAAAATTTCAAAATGTCGAATAAAATTATCCTACCGACGTCAGCAGGAAATTTACGAATTTTGAATAATTAATCCAAGGCTGGTTTTTGATTTTGAGACAGTGATGATAAATCGCTGTCACACGTTAAGTTGAATATTTATGGAATATTATTTATGGTAATGGATTTAAAAAACATATGTATACAATGCTAGAAATAGGACTTTTGTGTGTGCCGTGCCTACTTTAAATTTCAGTATTTTTTAACATGTTGTTATTTTCAACTCTATTTTTTTAAGTATGCATGTAATAATTTGATTGCAGTAAAGATGAAAAGTACGATCATTGCACTAATTAAATAAACATTACTTTCATAAAATCCTATACACATCAGCATAAACTAGCAGTTGTAGCAGTAATAAATAACATTTGGTCGTATCATCCATATTTTTTCAAAAGATTTGAGATCTTCAAGTTTAATAAAGACTAAGCTTTATTAAACTCCGTACTTAATACAACTACAAAAATGGATGTAAAAAAATAATGAAATCGGAATGAAATAAAATAATCAACAAATTACAGTATTAAGAACTAAACATTTATGAAATCGGAATCAAATAAAATAAAATTTTATCTCGAAACTATTCAGCTTTCTCGATAGCTATTCCCATAATACCCATCCACTGTGTCTTCATTATATTCCAATCATGTCTCCTATTTCCTCTTAACCGTTAAAAGTTAATTGCAACTAAAATGCATATAGTTAAACTAGCTGACCCGGCAAACGTTGTTTTGTTATATACATTATATGTAGTGTAGAAAAAAATGTTTGGGGTGGACCACCCTTAACATTTAGGGAGACGAAGAATAGATGTTGTCCGATTCTCCACCTTGGCCGATATGCACACAAAATTTCACGAAAATCGGTCGAGCCGTTTCGGAGGAGTTCAATTACAAACACCGTGACACGAAAATTTTATATATTAGATAATAGTTGACAACTCGTGTTATGTAATATCATGTACATAACATGTACATCCGGTACAAAAGACATTAGAAAATATTATTATGCTTTTTTGTACAGGCTAAATCCATTTTTCGAACTTGCTTCGACCCGCATGCATTCGATCCCAACTTTCTTGTACTTTGCTAGCTTTAACCGCTTCCGAACTGAAATTAGTTTGAGCTGTCGATTAAAATAAGCCAGTAAATAAACTGTTTTGCGTATGACGCTCGCATAAATAAGGACTAACAATTTGACGGAGCGATGTGACTAAAAAGGTACTGTAAAGTATCAGCCTATTTATGCCCCACTGTTGGGCAAGGCCTCCTCTATACAGATGGTGGGGCATAGTCCAGCACGCGCACTCACTGCGAATTGACCAACTTCGAGGTCGATATATTGTTTTTGGTTATTATTTCGAAAATTGCAGGTATCCTCACGATATTTCATTTTACCGGTAACCACGTGATAAGTCAACACTTTAAATTAGCCATTTCATAAATGAACTCAGGATGCTCGAGTTTGTTAAAATAATAGCAAGCGCCTAATCTTTTAGCTATTATAGCTGCATTTTTAGTGTTGAGATTAAAAAGGGAAACATCGCTCTTTGTTTGCCAGTAGAAAAGACAGACATAATAAATAGCTAATGTCAACATGTCATGAGCCTATCACCTTAAGAGTGTTTATTTCATGAAAGAAAACATTTGATCTGTAGGCTTTTAAAATTGCACTTGCTAATTTGATGCCACCAGATCGAAATCGCTTCATTGTGACAGCTCTTGTTTATTTTAGACAATTGTAACCCCTTAAGTAAGTAATAAAGGTAACGTGTATTTGATTTTTCACCTATTTATATCCAATGATAAAACTATAATAAAACTATCATTGGAAATAATAGGTGGTTAGGGACTGTTTAGTCTTGATTTTGAATTTACTATAAATTTTAACATTTTTGACCATATTCATAATAATATAACAACATGTAATTATATAAGTTTACCGTCCGTGGAACTATCATACAGGTTTTCGACGCAGAACTTATAGGATACCGGTTCACCTGGAATTGTCAATTTTAGTTAAAAGTAAGCTCTTTGAGCACAGGTAAAGGGAAAATTCTGAAAACTAAAAAAAATTAAAATTTAGTTAAATCTTGTTATCGTGTTCTCAGGACATTGATTTTTATATACCTAATTGGGACTATAGACCTCAGTATTCTGGTATTAATTTCAACTTGCTAGGTCCACCCGATCGTGATACACGGACAGACAGACGGAACAAAAGAGTGTCTGTATAAGGGTTCCTGTTTTTATCTTTTGAGGCACAGAACCCTAAAAATAAATATCAATAGACGAAATGTATATTTCTTATTAAAATCAAAGTCAAAATCAAAAATACATTTATTTACATAGACACTTGCGCGTTCTTATGAAATGTCAAAATTTTACATACAAATTAATACGTTCGTTAGTTACCACCTGTTGAGAATAAACCGGCAAGAAACTCAACAGTTGCTCTTTTTTAAAACGATTAGTTTACAATAGAACAAGAATGTCTTATTTTAGCCTACGTGTATATATAGAATTTATGTCAGATGCACTACTAATCTTATCCTTTAAACGAGCAATTCTTGTTTACATATATATATATATATATATATATATATATATATATATATATATATATATATATATATATATATATATAAAAAAAAAAAAAACCGATTAAAGCTCGGTCCTCCAGGTACTACCATATTATGAGCCGTGATAGCTCAGTGTCCGGGCGCTCGCCTTTAATTCAATATACTCGAGCAACCTGAGTTCGATCCCCGGTCCCGGCACCAATGAAGTTTTTAACTTTAAGTGCTGACTTATCACGTGCTCCGCGGTGAAGGAAACCTGCATATTTTCGAAAAAATAACAAAAATCAATTCGAAGATATATGAAGTCCGCCAATCCGCAGTTGAGCCGCGTGGTGGACTATGCCCTGATACCCTCTGTATAGAGGAGGCCTTCGCACAGCAGTGGGACATGTATAGGCTGTTACTTTACTTTTTTAATTTTTACCATATTATTTATGGTGAACCAGTGGAGGATATACAAAAGTGCACCATTTACGTCGTCATAATTTGATATGTCATAATGTGTAGCTTTATGATGTGACTGTTTTCAGAGATTATTCGGTAAATATTGATGCCATCTTGATATTTGACAGTTATCCAAGTCCGTCCAACTTTTTTGTGGAATCTGTTGTCAATAGCCTTGTCATCGGTGTGGTACAATATAGAAATTTATTAAAAGGGATTGTTGTAAAAATTCATGTGCCTCGGTGATTGATTGTATTTCGTCGCAACACAATGTAAAAGCTAATATATGTTTGGTTTGTGATTAATTGTAACGATTTAATTTATATAAATACCATATTTTAACAGAAGACCCGGGTATAACTTGATTAGCTTAATAGCTTGATAGTCCACATCTGACCTTTTTCACAACGGGTAGGTCGACGCAAAAAATACATCTAATGACACGACCCAACGCGAACAATTCAGATTGCGAACGCCAACTGAAAAGTGCAGCCTTGCTCTCTTTGAGCCGAGTCAGGGCTAGCGGATCAAGGCGATGCGCCGTTGACACGCGGACCTTACGTCACTACCAATTAATGTATAACCATCGCACCGTGTGCATTGCAAACTGAAAGGTACACAGCCCACATCGTAGTTTAGCGGACTTCAATTTTCCCAAGTGAGTTTATGTCAGTCTTAATTTATATGTCTACCATAATAATGATAGACTGCATCTCAATTGTTATTAGGAAGTTATAAAAAAATTACTTCCCGGAAGAATATGTGTTATTACTTACGAATTGTTTTGTATCGTGCTTCTTGCTTTGGAACGATGAGTTCATATACAGGTAGATACTGGTAGATATACAGGTGTAGCAATGAGCTGCCCAGTCCAACTAGTCCACCTAGTCTCTTTTTTTCCTTTTTTTCTTTTGCCTTTTCTCCACAGTAAGTGCAGTTGGCACTACATATCCCTACAACATTACATATCTTTTCACATGCATA